CGTTAAACCCAATTATTCTCCCTCTCACTATTGCCATCAATACTAGACTTTATCATACAGACTATTTTGTTAACGCGGATTGAATGTATTCAAATGCGACCTGGCAAATTGAGACTACAACCACTTCCGAGGCGAAACTCGAAAAGTCGCCAGTACGACAGGAAGCCAAAATGATAGGGCGCTAATAGCCGGTGTGTTTATTTCCTAATTTCTACTTTTCGAGTTGCATTATGGCTTGGTATGCGCGTTGGCGCCTCCTTACTGACATCAACAAGCCAACAGTGAGGCTGATTCCCCCGCCGAAATCCCCAAATAAATAGATGACACATATTAATTAATCGCACATCTATTTTTTTCCAAAATATCAAGCAATCAAACTGATTATCAACTATACACTAAGGTTCATCACTCTCTATCAGATAGGATCAAAGTTATCTTGTCCTAAAGCAGGAAATTGCTTATATTTGCTTAGCTTTAGCTCGATATGTTAATCATTGAACTCAGTCAAGACGAACATCTACATCAAGTTTAAACATTCTACCTCTATTAGAAGAAGAGTTATTATGATTATCTCTGCTTACCCTAAGCCGAAAATGCTGATCTTCGCACTCCATCAAGACATTGACCTCATAAACCCCTACACCAAGTTTGAACATTCAAGCTTAATTAGAAGGACAGTTATTGTGTTCCAAAGTCTCGGCCAATCAAATTGCTTATCGCTCTGCTTACCCTGAGCAGAAAATGCTCATCATCGAACTTAGTCAAGATATTGATGTTATGAAACTATACACCAAGTTTCATCACTCTCACTTAATTAGAACTGACGTTATCGTGTCCCAAAGCATCAACCAATCAAATTGCTTATCTCTGCTTACCCTAAGCAGAAAATGCTTATCTTCGCACTCCATCAAGGCATTGACCTAATAAACACCTACACCAAGTTTGAACATTTTAGCTCAATAAGAAGGAGGGTTATTGTGTTCCAAAGTCTCGGCCAATCAAATTGCTTATCGCTCTGCTTACCCTGAGCAGAAAATGCTCATCATTGAACTTAGTCAAGGTATTGATGTAATGAAACTATACACCAAGTTTCATCACTCTCACTTAATTGGAACTAAAGTTATCGTGTCCCAAAGCATCAACCAATCAAATTGCTTCTCTTTGCTTACCCTAAGCAGAAAATGCTTATCTTCACACTCCATCAAGGCATTGACCTAATAGACACCTACACCAAGTTCGAACATTCTAGCTCAATTAGATGGAGGGTTATTGTGTTCCAAAGTCTCGGCCAATCAAATTGTTTATAGCGTGCTGTCGCCTCGCATTTTGTCGACTTTTCGACTTTCGTGTTTTGAAGGGACGAAAAGTAGAAATTATGAATGGTAGTTATAGACTTCCATAGTTAGGTCATCAATGCTACAAACACACTTACGAAGTAATCGTATTTAATAAATACAGCAGTTACGAGGCACCGTGGTTATCAAGAAGGCCGTCCTAAAAATAATCGTCAATTTTTCCTCTATCACGTGATACGGTATTACAGTTACATTGAAACTTGATATTGTATTAACACGACGTGAAGTTTGTTACATTGTATTTGCTTACCACTAGGTCTAAAGTAATAATTTAAAACAAAAAGTGCATAATAACGGTGAGTAACTGAATATAGTTCACAATTTCATTGGCTTAAAATATATTGCATAATATTGTAGACTAATCGACCTATATAATATATTCTCACATCAAACCTATAGCTGTGTAATGGTTATGGGTCCCGAATACACTAAAATAATATAATAACTATTTGCTGTGTTTTACCTTTGAAAATAAACCAATCTACATACGACCAACTTGAAAAGTCGTACGAACTGTAACCAGGGCTGTAACTCAGCCGAATGGATCAATATCTTTTTATTTTACTGACTTTTTATCTTCAGCGAGATACGAGTTTATCCGGTGACTATTTAGACTCGAATAACAAGGCACGAAGACGGATTACGACACACTGCGCTTCCTGCCTAACGCTGCAGTTCGTAATAATAATAATAATTTTCGTATATTTTAACTTTTGCGCTAAGCCACCATTTTATATCAACGGCGATGACTAGTTAAATTGGCCTTTACGTGTGAATATCGATGTGACCTTGACGCTGACCGGGACTTCAAATTTCCCATCGAGATCAGGACCTTTGCGCTTATATGTACTACGCCCCTGTTTCTTGCTGTATGTATGAGGTTAATGTCCGGGGTTTAAAGCAGGCAACTCGAACTTTTCAAAGTCAGTTTTTGAACATCTGACCTTGGCTTCTTACGACATTCACTCCGTAACCATTTCAAATGGCCATCATGCATCGACCTTTACCGATGTGACAGTTTGAATTGACTCCCGGTATGTTTGCCCCTGGGTACTTGTATGCATTAACAACGAAGCTATATCTACTTCCGGCGGTGTGATTAGTTCAGGAAAAAGTATTACGTATACCAAATGACAAAACCCTAACCAATAGAGATTTGTCATTAATAAACATACTGTTATCGTGATTAGCTGTTGTTCTAGTGATTAGTAGTTACACCGTACACGATCAACTGATCTAAGTTGATTGGCTTGAAATTGATACATCTATCGTTCGTGATTTGTTGCCGTTGTTTTTTTTAGTGATTAGTCGTTACACTTTTTAAAGTTTTAACTATGTTTTCATAATTAACTATTTTGAAGATTGAATCTGAAAACACCCAGTTCTTGAACATGAATATATATTTATCACCCCATTCCATACAAAGAAAAGAAAGTGGCAATAAATACTCCTAGTATTTGGGTTCAAACATGCATGCAGATTGCACAAGGGACAATTATTTTGTATTAAATTTTCGCATTGTGGACGGGAATATACTGAATAATAATAAAGATCGTCAATTTGTATTTCTACTTTTTATCGAAATAAGCAAACAATAGAAACTCGACACCCTCTGCTGATAGAAACCGATTCGACCATAAGAAAATCTTCAGAGAAAACCTATCACGGTCCAAGCCAAGATTATGGCCTTTTAAAACGGTTACAGAGTGAAGGTTGTAAGTCAAGGTCAAATGTCCCAAAACTGCCTTTGAAAAGTTTGAGATCAATTTTCTGTAACATGACTTTGACCCACTTCTTTGCCCCAGTTATCTTTTCTGAAGGGCGTCGTCTCTGCTTTCACCTAGAACATTAAACTTGATAATACAGCAAGAAATAAGCTCATGGCGCGCATAAACGCAAAAGTCCCGAGATCGATGGGAAGTTTGGAATCAAGGTCAAAATCGAGGTCACGGTCGGTTAGTGTTGATTACTGGAGGTCACCACGCCCATAAACTTCCTCTCGAACACGGGCCCTCGGAGTTTGACCGTTTTCTGGCCAAGCAGTGTGTGACAGGACCAAGGTAAACGTCGATGGTCCAAGTCAAGATGATGGTCTTTTAAAATGGTTACGGGGTGAAGGTCGTAAGACAAGGCCAAATGTCCCAAACCTGCCTTTGAAAAGTTTGAGTTCAATTTTCTGTAACATGACCTTGACCCACTACTTTGACCCAATCATCGTTTATCAAGGGCATATTCTCTGTTTTGACCCCGGACATTAACATCGAATATACAGCAAGAAATAGGGGCGTAGTACATACAAGCGCAAAGGTCCCGATCTCGATGGGAATTTTGAAGTCAGGGTCAGCGTCAAGGTCACAGCGGTATTCACACGTAAAGGCCAACCCAACTAGTCATCGCCAAATCTAGTCGTTTATAAAAAAAAAATGGTGGCTTAGCGCAAAAGTTAAAATATACGAAAATTATTATTATTATTACGAACTGCAGCGTTAGGCAGGAAGCGCAATGTGTCGGAATCCGCCATAGTGTCTTGTTATTCGAATCTAAATAGTCGGTAAGGTCAAAATCGAGGTCACGCTTGGTTAACGTTGATCTTTTCTGCTCCGAACTGGGCTAATGAGAACGGGCATACGCCATATATAGTGTGCTTTGACGGAAGTTTTGCCCGGACAGCGGCACTATGGCCTGCTCTTATATCGAGTTCCAACTGTCAAGGGATCTTTTGCGTGCCCGCCAATGAGTACACGTGACCTCGGTTTTTCGTCCCATCCGAACGACTAGACAGCTGTCATTGTCAAGCCCTCCGTCCTGCATCACTGACAAGTGGAACCTTCTCGGCCTATGCAGGGATCAAACACCCGACCTACGGGCTAGCGAGCCAGCGTCTTATCCACTTAGCCAACGTGATCCCTAGTTACTTAAAAGAACATCTTGAAAACTATGGAGGTCAATCGTATTCAGAATTAGATGTTATGTACTTATGTCTAATACTGCTTTTGCAATACAAAATACCTCTATTACTTATGTCATGATACCGCTAATTCAAAATACAAATGTTACTTTACATAAAACAATCGACACAATACCTAAAATGATACGTGCAATGTCTTTTCACTTTCGACATTGAACATTGAACAAAGCATAATTGTCTTGGCATCTTCTACATTTCACTATCTACATTACATCTTCGTCTTAGTAACTTCTACATTGCATTAGCGAACGTGTTTTATCTCGACTGCATTATCTTTTTATGACATGTGGGCGGAGCCTAAAAGAGGTATGAAATCATCAACAATAACTTCCAAGGAAAGACAACTCTGTTGTATTGTGTCGATTGTTTTATGTAAAGTAACATTTGTATTTTGAATTAGCGGTATCATGACATAAGTAATAGAGGTATTTTGTATTGCAAAAGCAGTATTAGACATAAGTACATAACATCTAATTCTGAATACGATTGACCTCCATAGAAAACAGTATACTTTTTGAAAACAAACATAAAGAAAACCTTGCTAATTGCATTTTATTATCAGGATTTTTTATTTTTTATTTAAACAAAATATTATTAACACAATAAATACCTCATCGAAAATAGTAATTTTTGCTTTCAGAAAATATGAAACTATTTTCGGTTGTAAAACTATGTCGGTTGTAAAAGTTCCAGATGCTTCTGGTAAAACTATAACTTTACTAGAATGGAACGGAAGATTCTATCCCCAATTTCCCCCAGAGATTGTCATGAACGTTCCATCAGTCAAACTCAGAGATGATGATATCCTTCTTTGTTCTTATGCAAAATCAGGTATTTTCACCATCTTAAATTCTACAAACTATTACCAGTATAATTAAACAAATAATAATATGTATATCTCATTTTCTGCAAATTTACTTCCAAGGGTATTAAAACATACCAATGAAAGTTTGAATGCGTTTCACAAGGTTGTGCGGCATAATTATTATCAAATTATTGCTGAAGTTGTTCTCTGTCTGGCCGGTGACCAAATGTTCTGATGCCTATCAACTGAAGTATTTTAAAAACAAATTTCAAAACCTTACACTGATTCTACAAGTTATAAACCGGTCAGCGTGCCGTAAATACCAGTCATGGATAAGGATAAAAACAACCATTGACAACTTGCAGGATAGTCTGCCTTAATGACCAAATGTATGCATTAACGCATTAATATATCTGGAAATATCCCTTTAAGAATATTACGGACATAAGCTATATTGAAATCTATTGTTTTATGCAAAAAGAACAAAGGAAAAAAACTCTGTCCTTGTCCAAATTGTACGCCCATTGATAACGCCAGTTTTAAGATGTATTCAGCCATCGACACGAGAGGCCAAAATTAAACAAACCGGCGCCCCATTAATATTTTAAAACGAAAATCAACGAGTGTTAGCCCTTTCTGTCGATTATAGGTGTGCGAATGTTGGTTTGACCGCGTGATTTATTTCCTGGTCGCTTCCACAGACTTTGCTAGGGACGCCTGCTTAACCTGGTGTGTTTTCTCCAGTTAAATAAATTGACATGGTTATATTTCGAATTGGCTACTTTTGTTTAATTGATATTAAACGCAATTTGCCTTTCTTGTATTTAAGGTACACATTGGATGTCTGAAATATGTAGGATGCTGATTCATGGGCGAACAGACATAGAAGTTAAACCAAAATTAGCATTTATGTTAGAATTAAAGCCGCAAGAGACTCTGGATAAAGAACCTTCACCAAGATTACTAAATACCCATTATAGGTTCGATCGTTTACCTACTGATTTGAAAACCAAGAAAACAAAAATAATTTACATAAGAAGAAACCCACAAGATTTTGTCGTTTCCTTTTACTATCATACTCTTAAACTGCACCAACCTTATGAATATGAAGGAGAATTTAAGGACTATTTTGGGTTGTTTCTTGATGGTAAAGGTAAATGCGGCGTTTTGAAGTATCCTTTGAAATGAAATGGGGTTTAGCGTTCTACTGTTCTGCTCCGATTTGGCTAATGAAGACGGGTATCCTTTTCTTCCAGTCTGGATCTTTAAGTAGTGATGCACATCAAGTAATTCTTGATCAGAAATCAAACACTTTTAGTAGTTATGCATGTAAACAGGACCGTAACTAGCTCAAAGCAACGAGGGGGGGGGGGGGGGCGGGAAGTGTTCTCGGGGGTGCTGTAATATTGACGGACAATGTATATCTATTTTTTTATGGTCGAAAATTTTTTCACGGGGGGGGGGGGGGGGGCGAAACTTTTAATACATAATACTGTGTTTCTCTCCTCATCATTTTTATACTCCCACATTTTCATGTGGATGTATATTGTCGTCGCCCGTCCGTCCGTCCGTAAACAATTGTTTGTGGACACTCTACAGGTCACAATTCTTATTCGATTTTGATGAAACTTGAAATATAGGTTTATCTCCAAAAGATCTCGGTTGCTTTCGATATTGGCATATATCGGAACAAAACTTCATGGCTGATTGTACGAAAAATCACGTTTTTAGCTTGTGGACCCTATAGAGGTCACAATTTTAAACCGATTTTGTTGAAACTTGAAGTGCATGTTTATAACCCAAAGATATTGGTTTCCTTTCTATATTTGCGCATATCGGATCGTAACTTCCTGAATTATGGCGCGTGATTGTACGAAAAATCGCCTTTTTTAGCTTGTGGTCACTCTAGAGATCATAATTTTTATCCGATTTCAAACCGTTACACCCTTATGATGGTTGAATTCGAAATACGTGAAAATCGGACAAAAACTGGCGGACAAAATGGCCACCCCACGTACGTAAATAGTGTAAATATATGGTATATCAAGGTACTGGACCCTCTAGATTCACAATTTTGATCCGATTTTGATGAAACATGAAATATATCTTTATAACCCAAAGATCTTGGTTCCTATCGCATATTGGATCGTAACTTCCTGAATTATGGCCCTTGATTGTTCAAAAAATCGCTTTTTGTTTAGCTTGTTCTCTATCCATCTCTTGCAAAACGTGGGCGTATCCTGCCTGGCGTATAGAAGCGAAGAGCAGACCACCAATTATATTTTTTTATAAGGATATACATATAAACATCTGAAGACATTCAATTAAGAACAGAAAGCTAGCTTATGATTTAATGTATATCAGAATGAAGAAGTAAAAGTTGTTGATTTTTAACTGGACGTATTCTTATTTAAATATATAAATATATAAAAAATTACGTTGAAAAAAAGAAATGAACACGTGATTTGGGCTGACTTGTACGATTTCCTGAGTGCCTAATTTGTGAACGATAGAGATTTTTTTCTGATATTAAGTTGGTCATCAGTTTTTCCAATATTTTTCAGAATACCCATTGCATATTATGAGGTATACCACATAATTAGATTTTAAATCATATTTTATTTGACGTAAACATATGTGAGTCCCCACACTGAAAAATATATTGGTAAAACTGATTTCAAAATTTTAGCCGATGTTTGCCTTTTATCTGACTGTTATTTTCAGTTGACTACGGCTCGTGGTTTGACTTTGTTAAAGACTGGGAGAAAATTATAGCTGAAAATCCAGATGTACCTATACTGGACTGTACATATGAAGATCTTAAGGAGGTAAAACACTTTTGTTAAGCATTTACAAGATTGGTAGATTGTTTTGGGTACACACACATTAATTTCTTTCTTTTTTAGATCTAAAATAATATGTTTGGTTTTAACCCTTTTTGTAGGACCCCATTAGAGAAATCAGAAGGGTTGCGGATTTTCTAGGAGTTGAAAGGAATGAAAATTTATTTAGAAGTATCGCAGAAAGCTGTAATATTGATATTATGAGAGCTCGTTTTAAAGGACATTTTAAGTTTCGGGAAGACGGGGAGAAGACGTTCTGCAGAAAAGGTGATTTATAATTTATCCATACCTGATAAGAAGTGAAACTCAGTCAATGGGTCAAAGCTATATAATTGAGACCAAGACAAAACGAGAACCGACCGAATCTTTCAAAAGATATTTTAAAACAGGGCTGTATTTGTCTGGTCGGATTAGATTATATTTCAAGGGACATAACGTTTATGTATTTCTGCTGCTTCGAATACAAATGAAATAAAAGGAAATAGGGTTTAACTCCTACTGTTCTACCCCAAACTGGGCTAATGAAGACCGGCATACGCCATACAGTGTGCTATGAATGAAATTTTGCCCGGACAAGGACAACGGCACTACGGCCCACTCTAATATCGAATTCCAATTGTCAAGGGATCTTTTACGTGCACGCTAATGTGTACACGGGGCCTCGGTTTTCGTCCCATCCGAACGACTAGAGCTGTCCTTGTCAGGAACTCCGTCCTGCATCACTGACAAGGGGGAATCACGCTGGAAAATCTGGATGAACTTTCTCGGCCAATGCAGGGACCGAAAACCCGACCAGCGTCTTTCCCACTTAGCCACCGTGACCCCTGCTTCGAATACAAAAGTTTGTTAGATTCGTGGTATTCGGAGCCCTTTACAGTTTTGTTTTGCAGTGAAACATACGCACAAGAGATACAACCCCAAAGTCAAAAACAGCGCAAGATCGGTATTAGCACTGATGAACATAATATGTGGAACACTTGCGGTATCAGTGTAGATGTTTAATGATAACGCGATAGGGGCTACAGTTTTAAATTTGATTGAAACAGAGAAATCAGGGGCTTAACGTCCACTCGACACATACTAGCGCATTTCGGGACTAAAATTTAATAAGGTTCATTTCTTTATTTAAAAAAATGTGCTTGCTGGAACGGATCTTTAGCAGTCGGGAAGCAGTTGGACAGACAAACCCACTCCTTGTCACGTACAGGCGGTGAATCTAAACCACGCCACATGACACAATGACAGACCTTATGATCTAAAGCGCTGATATTTTAGAAAGAATAAACAATCCATGTTCCACTGTTAATAGTTAAGTGTAGAGGTATCTTTTGTTTTAACTTCAGGTGAAACAGGTGATTGGAAGAACTTGTTTACTGTAGCAACGAATGAGCGTTTTGATCAAATTTACAAGCAGAGAATGGTTGACTCGAAATTAAAATTCAAATTTACTATATAGAACAAAATTAAACATAAATCTACACTAAAGCATGGAGCGAAAAACAGTTACGTGTGCCATTATACATTAAATTTAGATTTAATTTGGAACAATATTATAAAATGAAATGGGTTTAACGTCCTAATGTTCTGAATATTATAAAACAACGAATCATAACTGAGGTAAAGTCGATATCCAACTTAAAAGAATATTACACCCAAACACTGCATTCAAGTTCATGTCCAACTTAAAACAATATTATAATCAAACTAAAATAAAAGTAATGCCTAACTTTGACCTCTGTTAATAAAATAGAATGATAACAAGTGTTGTGTATCTACGTTCATAGTGGGGTGAATGTTTCTTTGATTCGTTTTGATTTCTGTCGTTAGCTGTTGAAGGAAATCGGAGGGCCCGGAGAAAAACCCACGAGGTTGGAGAGGCACTCCAACACCTTTTCTAAATTAACGACCACCCACTGTTACGACGCGCAATGGTGGTTTTACTTGTAATGATATTATTGAAGGATCCTCATTTCAAGTAAAACAATCAATGATGAAGGCGTTGGGTGCATATTCGAAGTTTTGACGCTGTACAAACTAATAGTGAACTCTTAGAACAGAAAAAAGAGACACATGTTATTAAAAACAAGCGGTTGCCGAGCAAGATACGCGTCATTTTGCATGAGATGGACAGGGAACAAGCTAAAAGGGCGATTTTTCGTACAATCTGGACCAATATAGTCCAGGATGTTACGGTCCGATATGCGCTTCTGTGGAAATGAACCGAGATATTGATATAAACATACATTTGCAGTACACAACCCTTGTTTTTACATACTTTTACACTATTTGTGTACAGGGGAGGGTCCATTTTGACCGTTAGTTTCAGTCCGACTTTTACGAAATTTCAACCCAACCGTCAGTATGGTGTAACGGTGACATAATTGAACGTTTTTTTTAAATGATCAAATAAAGTCTCGTTGACAATAAAAACGACGGGAAGTGTTAGAACTAGTGAGTATTGTGAGATAATAGCAGACGAAATGTCGTCAAAAGGTCAAAACAAAATGGCAGCTGATACACCTTATTACTGTGATATATAGTCAAAGAGTAGTAATAAGTTTTATTTTAATCGCTTCAAGTGCCTGTGAGTATGGAGAACAGCTATCTATTCAGCGGATAACGCTTCTGTATAAATAGGCTAAACAAACGGCCTTAAGATTAAAGCGTTAAAATTAAACAAATGTTTAGATGTTGAATTGGAGCTTCGTAAAACCAAATGTTCATATGTCATTTATTTTTTCTCAGTAAAATCTTAATATCACTAATAATAATTTTCTGCTTATTTCGCGGTAACTTACTGATAGGCATACTTTCAAGAATATGTTTTTCATTTAAAATGTCTTGTAACCGGTTTAATATTATAATATTATCTGACGCCATATTGTTTATATTGTCGGCGGACAAATCAAGCGGGTCCGCTCTGGGCTTTTATAGCCACAGATCACTAATGATTTCCCCATAGACTTTAATGTTAATTCTCGTCTCTTAGACCAGCTCTAACTTTTCCCCAAATTTTTGTTGGGTAGAACGCCTTCTAACACTGATGGTGCAACATGCGGCAACCTCTTGTTCAAAAGCACGTATGAGGTTCACCATGGAAAACTTGAGGTACACAAACTGGAAGTAAAGACTACTATACATGCCATTTTCCGCCCCACATTTCAACCTAACCAACCTCTCAACTCCCGTATCCTTCCGTCCCATGAATATTCACCAAAACCTGGCAGAAAATGTATTTTCAAACCCCTTTCTTCGATTCTACACCAAAAAGTCAACAAAAATTGCCATGGAAAAGGGAAGGGGGAAAGAAAGTCTAAAAATAACTTCCGTGGAGGAATATTTGGTGAGCTGTATCCATTATAGAGTCTGTGCTCAGGGCTATACAAGTCCGAATTATCCATTGGACTCCTGTTGATGCGAATGTAGTCTCTATAATCCAGAAAATATTCTACAAATATTAGTCTTGATGCGTTGTCAACACTTGCGAATAACAGGCCATTGTTAGATTATCCAGTTTTTTACATTGTTATAAACAAAGTCTATGGGAGGTAATTAGTCCTAAAACAAGATGTCGACGCCCATGAAATTAATTTAAGAATGCCATTTCAGAAAATCCATTTGATTGCATTGTCCAACACTATTATTTACGCATGGGCAATGGATCTCTTTTCTCAAATATTGGCAACGGTTCCAGATCCTCTCTCTTTACGTTGAAGACTAGGGAGCTCTGGGTTACCGAGACTAATGCGAACGATCCACGAACGACACCTATCACGACGCGTGGTTTAATGGTCCAGAGCGAGAATTTAGGTAGAGTGGCCCACAGCCTCAAATATGTGTGCTTTATATTATAAACTGACCTGTTTTAACAGCCGGTTGCCACTCGGTCCAAAAAGGCGTATATGAAAAAAGTTCAGTCAAGGGTTCTTTCGTGCACTGCAGGCAGCAAACATTAGCCCAAAATAGACAATCACGTGAAAATATTCACTTATTTATCAATGAAGCCATGAAAAAAAATTCTTTAATCGTTGGACTTTTAAAATACGTAGTTACGAACTTGATTAAAATTTTGGCTAGAACTCGGTGATTTAATTTCTAATTTAGTTGATTGTAACCGATGACGTATATATTGTAACGGTTCTCGGTTCAGAATAACGACACACTGTGAATGTTTTATTTAACTGTAAAACCATCTGGTTAGTTGCCGCCTTAGTGAGTTTAGAAGTTATATTGTTGCTAGCTCTAATTACCTCCAATAACAATATCCATAAAATAGAAATTTCCATCTTGATACATAATACGACACAACCAACCATAGAGTGGTAATGCACACACAAAGGATATTATATCTAAACTTAAATTACTTTAGCATTTCACTAAAAGATCCTTATTGTACAACTTTCAACTTATTATGTAGCCATTTTCATGCAGTTTGGATTCAATACTAGAAATGTCCTTTGATATAACAGATCAAAGGATTTTTCGCGACGCATTGTCACGTATCGTCTTCTATTGTTAGACTACCTGGCGCCTCAAATAACCTAACCATATCAGAATGCATGCAGTTCCACCTTGAAATGAGTTTAATTGATTAAAGGTTAATTCTATGATTTATAAGACAGTTTAGAGCACTATGCGTTAGGAGTCACATTCTTATACGGAATTCCGGGTGCAATGATAGACATTTGGACCACTGCTGCCGAACCAATATGAAAATTGAAAATTAATTTTCTTATTATGGAGTTTTTGTCTTTGCGTGTATTGTGTGCTCTGTTTTGGATGTGTATATTCTTTATATTTGTCTGTGATAATTATTGGCAACATATTAGGATTATCATAAAGGATAATTGACATCTACAATATGAGTGCGGCAAGTACTCTCTGCATAATGCCAGTACCGGATCTAGGGGGGGGGGGGGGAGTGGGACAAATGTCCCGGGTCCCCCACATTTAAGGGTCCCCCACAATTCTGGGTCATACTAATATTTTATACCTGGGCTGAGGGGGCGAGGAATGGGGTCCTGGGCAGTAAGGGATATTGGGGGCCCCGGGACTGGTAGGTACCAACAGATTTTCGGGGGCTCAGGAAATCGCTACCTAAATTGTCTCAGATGCACTGAAATTAATCCTAATTTTGAAAACAAATTCCTGGAGGAAAACACCCCAGGCACTCAAGGGGGCGGAGTACATACTAGTACTATCCGCGGTCAGTACGAGCAATATGAACAAACAACAATAAGCCTCCGCACAGTTGGTATGTCACAGGCTCCCCACAAGGTTAATCCGGCACTGCATACTGCGTTTGTAAATCACGAAATTCTCGGTTGTTAGAATGTTTTAAAGGACAATATTGGTGCCAGTCATTATCACATATGTGATAGAGCTGGTTAAACACATTCCAAATATAATTTTATGTCAGAGATCATTGCTACGATAGCTGAGTAATACAGTTTTTCTGAATCGGAAGTGACGAACGCCAAAGGAAAACACGAGTCGCCTCTCTATATAACTGACTGATGTGACGAATGATAACGGATATACGGGCGAATTTCTGCTCACTAATAATTTCTTTGGAGACCTAAAGTTGTTATATGGGACTGTAAGAGGATACCTGACAATTCCATAAAGTAATTGAATGTCATTAGATAAGAGAACACGAGAAAAATAGAAATAGTCCGTACATTCCCTTGTCTATATTCATTCTATACCTTATATAAACATGGTAATGCACGGACTTTTCTGTTTTTCTTTCGTGTTCGTTTATCTAGTGACAGTCAATTCTTTTTATGAATTGTCAGATATCCTCTCACAGTCTCACACAATAACTTTTGGTCTTCAAAGAAATTATTAGTGAGCAGAAATTCGCCCGTATATCCGTTATCATTCGTCACATCAGTCAGTTATATAGAGAGGGGACTCGTGTTTTCCTTTGGCGTTCGTCACTTCCGATTCAGAAAAACTGTATTACTCAGCTATCGTATCAATGATCTCTGACATAAAATTATATTTGGAATGTGTTTAACCAGCTCTATCACATATGTGATAATGACTGGCACCAATATTGCCCTTTAACTATAGTCTAGCTCATAAATACGCGACAATGTTTTCTTATATTTGAAGTTATTTAGTTTCATCTCTCTTTCTCTTTCTCTCTCTCTCTCTCTCTCTCTCTCTCTCTGCACGCGTATACAGATGTTAAATTCTATCGTTATTTGTACGTATATACGCAAAAAAAAAACCCAAGAATCCCGACTGAGGAAATTATGAATTCGATTTTCAGAGCTCAAATTAAAACTTTAATGTGACCAAGAAACATCTACCGCTGTAACGCTATACATGAGCGGTCAATTTTTCATCAAGTTATTCAAAAAATATTCAAATGGTTACAACACACAAATATCCAACTTAGTAATAATTTAATTGTTCATGAATGATGTTTTCATGGTAAGTCTTATCATATGTTAAAATAAGCCCCAAATATAGCTCGTTTATTGGATTTTAGTTCTGTACATGAATCACTCTACATTAGGGTACGAAATATATTGATACTTCACGAAGACGTAACTTAAAATACGGACACTTTCCTACATGTGCCATTTAATGAAAACGTCACGCGAGTTAAATATTTCATCTACTATAAAATAATGTACGATTGTCACGTTGGTTTAGCGTTAGACACTTAATTTTTCATATGGAATTGTATCCCACAAAACCACCTGACTTTTCCTTGCGAGACACGGTGATTTAGGGGAACACACTTTGGGAGCCGGTGTCCTTATGAATCAACAATCACCATGGATATTGCTCTCGTCCCTAGAGTTTGTTTTTAAATATTGCATTAGTTTAGAAATATCCAATATAGTTATCAAGACCAAAGGCAAGACACAGAAGGTAACGCCAAAATAACCAATAGCAGCAGAACTTTTTCTGTCGTCTTCCTGGCTCACTTTCTTTCTGGTAACAGACGAGAGATTAGATTTGTTGACTGTTAACTCGTTCTTGATTTTTCTGACGACGTTATCTAGTATGGCCGATTGTAACATGCCAACTACAACCTCTCGACAAATTCTCGATCGTAATATTCCGTCAGCCATTGCCGTTGATGGAGGTCGAAAGTAAGGGGTAGTTTGAGACCACTGATTCACAACTGTAGCAGTTGATATATTTGGTCCGTGTACCGTCGAAACAACAGTTACCAACTGCATCGCTGTGGGAGGCGTTTCGGTGCTTCCAGTAACTGGTTCAAAGGTTGCATCTGATGATGCAGTGGCACTGGTAGGCTGATGTGTTTCTGGATCCATAAAAGTACAATTCCCTGGAAAAACACACAAAGACTTAAAATCAAACGTGAAATGTACCGTTTCTAGCAATTTAAACTTGCCGAGAACCAAAGTATTCTGTAAAATCAATAAGCTGTTAAAATACAAATGGTGTGTATTGTGTTAGTTTTACAGAAACTATGATATTGGTGACCAACCGAAACGCACGATATTTGTGTGAATCATATTAACTCTTAATTTATCAGCCATAAAATATATCTACTCACCACAGTTAGGTCCAGGTAAAGCTGTAAAGATCATAAATATTACAATATAGATTATTTAGATATTTGTTATTTGTTTGATTTGAGGGCAGAACGAAATGATTACGGAACGTTGAATATTGGCAGGGTTCGTGCATATCATCATTCCAAATTTAAAAAAATAATGTTTAAAAACTATAGCCTCTGTCTCTTTTACAAGTTTTCGACAAAGGGGGTAACTCCGTAACGGAAGGTGGCACCATGCATTGGGTTCGTTCGTCCTTAACAAACCACCAGAGAACGATGGGAATCGATAGGGTTCATGCTCTTATTCATCACACTAGAGTAAAAGGCAGGGGCCTTAGCCCTGCGGTATGATGCGCACCAAAATGAAACTCATCCGAGACCTTTCGATCCTGAACATAATATTGTAAGTTTCATTTGAATCGTGACCTCTACGTACACATTTCACATTTTGTGTAAACGGCATGGACTATGGCGTAAGACGTTGTTGTTCGATCCGCGCCCAAATTGAAATCATCAAATTTGATTTTGCGAGGCAGGTGCAAGTGTGTTTTCCGATCAAAATATATGGATAACATTTAGGCGTTTACGCCTTATTATATTCGTTTAAAGAAAACAAATCTTAGTCTCCGTTTTATCATTAAAGGAGGCAAGTCTCTAACTCAATATCATCAAAAGTCTTCGACATGACGAACACGTATTAATGGTCAATTTAAATCAAGATTGATGTTGTTATCTTATCGTGAAAAGATGGGCTACTGACATTCAATAAATAAGATAAAATGAAAATTTTAAAACGGCACACAATATCGCGTGCCAGAATCCGTTCGAACGCCATTTGTAATGAAGCAACTCGATGAACAAGGCTAACCATACCCCACAGGAGAATACTACCGGTGTAGACTAGAATAATTAGACGCCAAAGACTTACATTCAATTTTGACTCTTCGCGTATTTCGCCGAACATAACTGATTAGAAATTACAGTAAAAACAGAAACGACTGAATGTAAAATCAGTTTATATACATGCATATAACATTATTATATGCTTTGCTAGGTACCAAAGAATAAAGATTTAGCTCCTTTAAATGGTTCAACAATTCAGCTAAGTAACCAGTGGATGTAAAGAAACAAGCGGTTGCCATGCAAGATACACCCACATTTTGCAAGAGGACAGGGAACAGGCTAAGAAATAGTTTTCTCGTACAATCAGGGGCCACAGGAAATTAGGGTCCACTACCCAGATCTTTAGGATATAAACATATACTTTAAGTTTCATCAAATCGGATAAAAATTGTGACCTCTAAAGGATCCACAAACTAAAAACGCGATTTTTCGATTACTCAGGGGCCATTATCCAGCAGGTTACGGTCCGATATGTGCGAATATCGAAAGGAATCGAGATCTTTGGGATATAAACATATATTTTAAGTTTCATCAAAATCGGATAGAAATTGTTATTGTCCACAACCTTGGTATTACATACTTATACACTATTTACGTACGAGGAGCGGCCATTTTGTAGGGCAATTTCGGTCCGATTTTCAAGACATTCGAATTCAACCACCATTATGGTGTAACGGTGGTATATTTGAACGGTTCTTAAAATCGGATAAAAATTGTACTTTCAATTCAAAAATATTATTATTTACTGACGCCATGAAACGTCAAAATAATGTATTGTAATTTCGGCCTTTACCCTTCCGCCTGTCCGATTAAGCTACGAAAAATAAACCCGTATATTGAAATATTCCTAAACACGAGCATCAAATAGGATGAAAATTCAAGATCCCGCCGAAAAAATAACATGGGTATAGTTTTGATTTTTTTGGTGGATACGCAACTGGACGTCGCAGTAGTAACGTTTGTAGCTGTATTTGGTGAAGGTTTCAGACGTTTATACATACCTGTAAAATTAGCTGAGAATCCTGTGTAACTTGCACTATCATCAGATGAAAATCTAACTGATATAGTATAGGATGTACTGTAAAATATTGGACCTCGTTCATAAATCCCTGTAATTCCAGCTATTAGACTTCCATTTTCACTGATCAATACAATACTACCGAGGGCTCCAGTCTTTTCAAATAAATAAACAAATAAGATGATGTGGGTGTTGAAATTTAAGTATCTTTGATCTGGTTTATAAATATAATTGTCGATTTCATTCAGGTTTGTGTATTAATTTATTTTGTGGGATGAACATCTACTATTTTAATAACGCCAATAATCGAGATTGAAATCAGTTTTATCGCGGTGTATAGAATAGTGTTTGGTTTGATTAGACCTAATCCCACTAAACACTGTCAGACTTACCGCAATTTAGTTAGCAAATCAATTTAATTCCCGTGTATCAGAAACAAATATTAAATTTAACGATGGCCTTGACATACTCCTTGCAGATTTATCTGGCCATTGCTCCGGGAACATGGGGCCTCGGTGGCTCATACAGTAAGACGCAGGAACCAGGCCTCGGGTTCGCACCCTGCGTTGGCCTGGCCGAGAAAGTCATAAGCCCACCTTAAATCCCTCGTAATTATAATCGTGATTATATTGTTAATCTCCTAACTCTGACATCGACGAAAGGGTTACTTTGTTGTCCCTTCTCTGTTCTAATATATCACTATCCGTAATGCAAATATACATAATATACTACAGTAAATAAGTTCAACAATACAGACTTGGACAATCCAGGTGTCCAGGTTGTAAGTACCCTTCGATTTAACATATCAGATTTGCAGTATGGTGCTGTTGCAGTATGGTGCTAAAGGATATAGCGTGTTTAATAATAGGGTTACGTATCTTTATATTAGCTTACCTTAAAGTCAGAAAATGTTAACTTTATAATCAATTCTACTGGTACTATTACATTGTATGTACAATTTTGATGTTTGGGATATTTATCTGGATAATTCGGTGACGTGAAATAACCAGAATTTCCATTTAACTTCTGGTTACAATCTAGATAAATAGATAGCAACAGAGTGATATTAAGATAACAGACGATAGACATTGCTTACGTATTACGTACACAAAACGTGTGGTGGTTTGATGTGTGCTAGAATACCACTTAAATAAAATTTGGAGAACAGAACAATTGACCTTGAATTAGTTTGAATAATATTTGCATTACTAAGAGAGACAGGACGCTATCGATTCTATTGTGGTTCCGCAAACTCCAAAGCACCTTTGAAAGAGTTCGAGCAATACTTCATGATTCACAATCTCAACCGCAATTTGGATCAATCGTCAACAAAAGGAGATGATATTTGGTGCTCCATGATATATAAGATATCGTCAATATTTTAAGGATTAATGTACACACTTTGACCTGATAACGGGAGAATAAATAGCCGCCTTTAAAATGGGCTAGTTCTTTTTAAGTCAGCCTGAAACACACCCGATATAAATAACATTACGAATCACAGATGCGTAACAATCACGAGGTTGTTTTATCAGGAATGATATCGAACCAAAGCTGCGCATAGTTGGTGTCGTGTTTTGGGTGAGCTTTCCTGTAGTTTCCGTATATCTACTGCACTGAAGGAAGCAAAGATATTATGTACAAAGAACAAAGCAAAATCCTTTGCCAACTGAGAAACACTTTCAGTAATCTGGTTAATTTGGTTGGAACCAGTCAGACTGGTAATTGTTTCAAATAGTCGTTCCAGAATTAGTACCACAGGAGTTCATCTTGTCGTGTGTATTATAAAATAACTTTTAAAATGACTAAGATGGTGTCCATGTAGATTACGGATTGTAGGAGGTGGCCCCAGTCCTCAGACGTTCTGTTCTTGACCCAGTGGAGCTTTACCTTCTTGACTGACATTTTAAGTTCAATTGCTTCGGCATCAAACCTTGGTTGGGTACTTCACGACTAGAGTAGTGGACTTTTCTCTGATTGGTGGGGGGATGCTAGTATTGTTTAACGCGTACCCGTTAGATCTGAATCTCTGTCATTTAGTCAAGTGGCGTGGTTTCGGTTCCCCACTTACTTGTACGTGACAAGGAGTAGGGTCGCCTGTCCAATCTAGTGGGTTTTCTTGTTTCCTCCAACTAAAGACCCCAAGCGAAATATTGAAATAAAATTCAACCATATGATAGTCCCGAAATTACCTAGTTTGTGTCGATTGGACCTTGCCCCCCCCCCTCTCTTTCTCTTTAATATAATGCCCTTATATTCCATTGTCACCATGCGATTTCTCTTATCATATGCCATGTTCCTACGTTGCCACACCGTTCTCTGCCAGATGACGCCATGGTCAAATGGTGTCGTTCTCGCACCATGCTAGTCGCGAAGCCTTAAAATCTCTTAGGGTAACCATTGGCTTTTTAACCTAGCGCTTGACGCAAATGGATGACGTCGCACGAGTCTCAATAGTGATGCATCTTCTCTTGCAAGGGTTACATGTACCATAACATTGACGGTCCTTTACCCATCTGTCGTGCAATCAACGGATTTCCCATGTCAATGACTTGACATTTCTTGGCTGTAGGAAGTTGCCAAGGTCCCACTGTGGAATACAGACAATAAAAACACCAATCACCGAGGCTGATTTCCCTAACGTACTGTTCTTGACGCAGGGGATTCATCCATACCTTGCGCATTATGTCAGCTTAACAGTGGTATATATGGAGGACAGAATACCTCAAAAGTTTCATTGCATTTTTGCCTATATTTATTTCTCTGGACTGCCTAAACATTTTTCTCTGTGAATATTTTAATAATAAGAAAATTGTTTTAAAAATTCCACTGTAATAAATAACTTATGATCTACTCACGGGATCCAGGTAATCCTGAAAGAAAATTAAATGGGTTTAAAAAGATACCTCGGTGATTTTAGGACCGAAATATGAGCAATCTGATTAAAACACAGATCCAATTTCGTTTCGTTTTTTTATAGTTCAAAATTTCGTTTTTACTTGTCTTTACTACACTTGGATCTGGAAGACTTGTTATTTAACTAGTGTTCTGCTTGAAATGAGGGGTCAGCCAATCAAATGGTCTGTCGAATCGAGCGTTTGACCTTTTTTGCGCGTAACCGTGGGTAGACATTACCAGCAATAGAAATCAAAACAAAGCAAAAGTAGATTTAAAAAAGCATAGCGGTCGCTAATTGGTTAATCGAATGACTGACGTTATCGGGTCAAGTGCCGCTTGCTTGGTACCTGACGTCATAGAACGTGAACTCCCACTATAACCACAGAGTAAAAAGTTAGATCTACATGTAGTGTACGCCATCGAAAGTATAAAAAACGAAACGAAATATAGATCTATATTTTAATTAGATTGGAAATATGAGATGTATAATTCACATTTTGTGCACTTCCCATTGCCGCCAGGTGTGGTCTGGATTAACAATGACGGTTTCATCACTAAATCAGTGACATGAATAGTGGTACGAGTGACCACCAATAAATGGCAGCAAGAACACAGTATAGAACTGTTGAAAGACAATCTTTGTGTATTTTAGTACTCCTGCAGAGATTAGATTATGTAGTTGTTATAATTTTTATCATTGTTGGGTATTCATAGACACATACCTGTAAAAGAAGCTGAGAAAAAAAAGTATTCACTCGAATCATTATCCGTACTTTCTCCAGCAACACTACCGATAATATTACCAGATGTAAATACAATGTATAAAGCATTTGTTGTACTGTAGAGTGGATCTGGTATTGTTCCACCGCTATAATTAGCTACCTCAATGCCCTTTTCTCTGATCCTTACATCGCCATTTATTCCAGTCTGACAATGGTAGAAACAAAACAAAAATATTTATATTTTAATATTTTGTTGTTACTTGGGTATATATTATGTGAGGATCAACATGAACTTTGATACTAGCAACTATTTAAAATAAAATTCCGTTGTAATAAACAGCCAATTGGTGCTTATATGCAGACCAGGAATTGCTAGGTCTTTCTAAGTGTAATATTAGTTTAATAATGTATAGAGTGTACAGGACTCATTTCTATAGGAACCACCGTGACGCAGAGAGTAAGGCGCCAGCTTACTAACCAGGACATCTCGGGATCGAATCCCGTGTCGACCGAAAGGAATTCTCAGTCGTCTGGATGGGACGAAATGTCAATGTGCCGTGTACACCATAACGTGCACGACAAAAAAAAACAACAAAAAAACAAAAAACAAAACAAAACAAACAAAAAATTGACAGTTGGAATTTGAAATAAGAGCATGGCATTTGTCCGTCCGTCTTCGCTAGTCCGGGTAGTGCACACAACCCCTGGCCGAGAAAGTTCATCGGGATTTTCCGGTGTGGTTCTCCCTTGTCAGTGGTGCAAGACAGTGGGCCTGGCAAGGGACAACACAAGAGTCGTTCGGATGGGCCGTAGCGCCGCTGTCTGGGCAAAATTTCCGTCATATCACACTATATAGCGTATAGCCGTCTGCAATTATCACAGTTTGAGCAGAAATGATCAGTAGGACTATAAACCCATTTCATTTCATTTCATTTCCTATTCTACAGTGTGTAGGACCAAATCCAAAGGTGTTTTAATTATGCTGTCCCCAGATAAGGTCCACGTTACAGACATTGAGTGTTGTATCATTGTATCAAATCAAAATGTTATTCGAAATATATAAAAAAAAAACACTATTGGTCGCATTTGTTCATCAGTTAATAATACAGGTTACAGCTAAAAACAATTGTGGTATTTTGACCACTGACTTCTTGGTGGCCTTTCGTCCCTAGATTATCTTCTAGCCATTAGTATTCGTTAGCTATAAGCAGTGTTGGGTGTTGTGCACGGGATGGGATATGTTTACTCTTTCAAGGACATACCATATACCCCATCCCATTAAAGATACATTATGTAAGATTTAGATAAAGAACTAGCCATTCTTGCTATAATAGTTCGAAAGTAGATGATGTAAAATGAATAATTTGAACATTTCATTCAAATTACTCTATTGCAAGCGAAGATATTAGCCTTTGAAGGTTTGACAGACGTGTGCAATAATTTCAACCACCGTACTGGTTGATCGAAGCTAAGTCCTCCATATTTGATTAAATCAAAGTATCGCTGAACCATTCTAATCTATTTAAGATCGGAGAAATGTGATGCCATCGACAGTTGATTAAGGCCTGGATCAATTAATACTTTAGAAAACATTTCAGGCCTAAAGAAAGGTCTGCAATAGGCAGATTTAGCTCTTGCATAATGCATGTTTAATATAGGGAGTTTAGGTACCTAAAAAACCTCTGTAGTACTAAACTTACCAACTTACCTCAAGGTCAGAAAATGTTAACTTTATAACCATCCCTTCTTCAACAGTTATATTGTATGTGCATATTTTATTGTCTAGATATTTATACGGATAATTTGGTGACGTAAAACATCCTGAGTCTCCATGTAAGGTTATATTACAGTCTACAATAATTAGATAAATCAAGATATCATTAATAACCACATTGTTAAAACTTACATTTACCACATGCGTGATTGGTGACTGCTATCTTAATCTTGTTTGAACAAATTTTGCAGTTGTCATTTACGACCAGGTTCTTCAACAGGGTGTTAAAACGATTTTAAAATAACAGATTTTTATCCGAGTGATTCATTTAATACAGATTGTCATTTTGTATCTGCAAAGAGTAAAACAAAACTAGATACAAAAAAACCCTAAAACAACATGGATTTATATCGATTTTTGTTATTTAGTATCAGTTCGATGGATTTCATTTTTACTTATTTCGTGTCGTTTCGGGGTTAGCTTTTTTTTTACATTGTTTCGCACTTTACATTTAGCCTGAAGATACATGTTGATTAGCTGTTTATCTGTGTTAGCATCTGTCTCGTAAAGATCACCAAAAGTTTGAGGCACCCGCTTAACAGACCATTTACTCTATTTCGTTCTCTTGTTTTCTTTTAAACCCATTTTAAAATTTCAATAAAAATTTGTTCTTGTATGTTTCCTAAGATAGCCCTATACGCGGGATGGGCAGGGATAACGTCGATTTTTATGAAAACTCAACAAAACTCAGTAGGAATGTGTGAGGTTTTCTCGATTAAAATTGCTCGGTCCCGTAAGGGCATACTTCTACATGACGTCTTCAAAAAGGACTAAACAAAATAGGTAGACTTTTCTCCTAAACCATGCAAATAGTTTAATAATAAACGTTGAAAAAAAATGGGTGATTAAGCCCAACCGATAAAATCGACGTGTTCCTATTTTCTCGATAATTATTATTATAAAGTCAAACTTACCGGAATCACAAGTGGCATGTGACTGTGAAACCAATAATATGGCACATACCATTCCCAGCATCCATTTATATTTCATCATTAATTCCAGAACTGTTATTAGTGCTATCACTTAAATAAATGTAAAAAACAGACATGAAATAATTATAATAAAAGCCATATATCGAATTAATTAATATTTCTAAAAGTCATCTTTAAAAAGTATGTTAAGTGGTGCAGGACGGAGGGCCTGACAAAGACAACTGTATACTCATTCGGATGGGATGGAAAACCGAGGTCCCGTGTACATATTGGCGTACACGTAAAAGATACCTTAGCAGTTGGAATTCGATATTAGAGTATTCCGTAGCGCCGCTGTCCCGGCAAAATTTCCCTCATAGCTCATTGTATGGTATGCCCATCTTTATTAGCACAGTTGGGTCAGAAGAGTAGAACGTTAAAACCCATTTCAATTCATTCCATTTCGTAACAAAATAGCTATCACTTAATTTTATCAATTACACTTAATTACATAACAACCATCCACAAACTAGCAATCTAATTAAAATCATATGTTATTTTCGGTTTTCGGACATTTCATTCAAACATTAGGCCCGTAACTAGCGGGGGAGGGGGCAAGGGGGGCAGCTGTCACCGCCCCCACCCCCCTGGAAAAACATTAAGGCGCCCCATTAAGGCGAGTGACATTAGCTGAGTGACATTAGTTGAGCGCCCACGACGAGATTGGCGGGGCGCCCAACCAATGTCACTCAATGTCATGTCGTTATATATGAGGCGCCCCCATCATAATACGCCAATATCGAAAATTCAGCCTCAAAATTGAAATTTCCTGTCATTTTCATAGTTCCTCTCCTCAGGTGCAAACCTTATTTACCAAATTTTCTGAGGGGGGAGAGGGAAGTACCCTAGATCCTTAAAAGGGAGGCGCTTCTACGGTATCGTTCGCCGTGAACCGTCAAGTGTAGGTATATGGGCACCCCCAGAAGTTCCATCGGCGTCCCAGAAGCCCCCCCCCCCCCAACATTTTTGGGCTAGATACGGGCCTGCACGATTAACAATAAAACACATAATTAAAGATGCGCCTTTCCAATAAAAGATTGCAAAATTTAGTAGTGTCGCAAAAAACCTGTCCCATTTTCAAACCATTGCGGTTTACATATTTTTACTGTAATGACACCATAACTGATGTAATCGTTAGTTTCAAATTAGAGTTCAAAAGAGATGTAGTAAAACTGTATTGTGAAACTGGGAAATCTCCAGCATTGGTAAGTCAAAACCATTTCAAGATTTATACTGATATGAATCCACTTTCAAGGAAAAAGATCAGAAGAATTGTAAATAAGTTTGAAAACTTTGGCACAATTTTAGACAGCAGGTCAGGTAATAGTGGGCACCGTAAAACTGGACGATCTAATGAAAACATAACGATTAAAATTGTCGTTGAAGAAACGTGACAAAAATCTATAAGAAACCTGTCCAAACAACCAGAACATGTTTTAGTCACAATATAGCCTTTCAAAACATTTCGAGGAATTTTCTGTTTCCCGGGTTTCTAGAATTCGTAGGTTGACCTGGAGTCGAAAATAACAATCTCCGCATTACTGAAAGTACCGAAAAAAAAAACGGAGCGAAAATTTGGTCCAATTTCAATTAGACTGCACAATTTAATTCTGCCACAATTATAAATATATTTTATCTGATTTATGTGGAGATGAAGAACTTATATTCATCTTTTAAACGTATATAAATGTAAGAATAACCTACCGTTATGTCTTTTAGAAAATTCACAATTGACTTATACAGAGAAGTATCCAAAGATGTGACAAAGAGTTATTGGGAAAGGTCTAACTATTGGCAGTTGCCATTCTCTAATGGAAGTCATTTATGCATGCAATCAATATTCTTTTCTGTATCTCGGTATGTGATACAACTTCCCAGTGGCAGAGCTGCACCAATAAAAATGCATCAAAAATGCTCATAATAATATATAACTTATTTAAGCGTTCACTCATACAACCGTTGCGATTTATACCATTACAAGAGTGTGCATTTCATTTATCAACTCCGGTGGTTTGTATGTTTTAAGCTATTGAGTTGACGAATAGATAAATAAAAGTATAGTTTGTTTAAAAGCCGCCCGTATAACAGGATGTAGTTCCTCTTTCTAGCACACACAATACCGTGTGTTGTATTTTTGTACTTTAAGCCACTCAACTTTAAAGGCGCTAAATCGCTAATATTTGGGACCTAGAAATTGACAAAAATGGGTCATAACGCATATAATAATGTAATATGAATGTATATAAACTGATTTACATTCAATCGTTTCTGTTTTTACTGTAATTTCTCATTAGTTATGTTCGGCGAAATACAACAGAAGTCTCATGTGAATGGCAATCTTTAGCGTCTGGTTTTTCCAGTCTACACCGATGGTATTTATTGCGCATGCTATCCAGATAAGAATATAGCGTCACCTTTTGACATGACTTGTGGAATATGTCTATCCCTGTTATTTGAGTCCCTTGTTCCAAATGGCGCTGAAACGCATTATGGTACACAATTCGTGTACCAATGGTAAAATGTTTATTTTGTCTTGTAAGATCACAAGACCAATGTTGATTTGAATTGACAAAAAAATCGTGTTTTCAATGTCGAAGATTTTTGATGATATTGAGTTAGAGACTTAGCTGCTTTAAATATATAATTGTTGTACATGTATGTACTTTTGTATGGTGTGTAAGGTGTCGTGTGCGAGACAGGATGTGCTTAGTCTTTCTGAATTAAGACTATGTTACCATTTCCTAGTTTAGGATTCACATACATGTATCATGTATCTGTTAAAGTATTGTACTTATGTATTCTAATGTATCTTAAATCTTCGACAATGTGAAAATAGTCCCGTCATGTTTAGTCTTTCTTAATTTCAACCCTCTGATATTCCACGGTCCATTAAAGACTTATTTATTTATTTAATAGCATCAATCCTAAACAAAATTCCAAAATACTAAATTAAATTTGTGCCAGAGAAAAGTGTCAGTAACTCACGACCCCGTTGATTGTAGCAATATCATGGTGTTCGGGGATGGGAAAGATAAAGCATGCTATATAATATACAATCACAATTTTACTTCTTCAGAATATATCATTTCTAGAGTTGTTATTGATATTTTACACGGGTAAATACACACACATCTTCCATGAAAATATGCTTTATACTGCAAGTCTGAATTATGTATTAGGCCGAGCTCACTACCCATCGTGTTTAGGACACGCACGGGTCGTATGGTTTGGTAGCTCGCAGACCCGCCGCAAAAAATCAAAACAAAAAAACAAACAAAAAAAAAAACGGTGGAAATTTTGTAAATAGTACGGGCACAGTACTTGTCACGTTCAGCGTGCGAAGAATTCCGTGGAAGGCATAAGTCTGACGTACGTGCTCAGTGCGTCAGTAGAGTTTGTGCCTATGTCGGCAGTCTTAACAATATTCCTCGTATACAGCAAGACACACCTCAGGTACAAACATGAATATGGCATTTGACCCGACACGGAATGAAAACTCAAGTGACTTGTAACTATTAACTGTAGCCAGAAATTGGGTAGTAATACTCCGTTTCAGTCCGGCTCAAGTGAATGGCGGCTTCTTGGACCTTTTGTAATTGCCCAGTGTCACACGCACCAAGGGCTCTACAAACATGTCGGGGTCACCTACATCTTTCTGGCGTTGTGACTTCCTCTCTGGCTTTTCGAATAGGTAGTGACGTTTTCCGAAAAGCCGCCGCCGTTCAATCCATGGCCGTACCCACTACAGCCTCTGTTGCCTCGCAATATGGCCACGTGCCTTTCCTCCGCTGATATTAGCTGCTTGTAGAAATTCAACAACCTTAGTCGTGTCGGTATGGTGACAGCCATATTTGTGCTTTCTGGAGTAATACATGCTAGGCAATCTCACCCATACATGCTAATTCACGTCACCCGTACAAAGCTCCTACATCTGACGTCGGCTTATTGACATCTTAAAGCCCCTATTAGCCGTGCTCCTGGCTTGATCCAGGTGTTCATCAGGATTACGGGCCTCGTACTTACTGTATTTTTTGCAAGATCCGTAGAATTTGCATGTGCAGGACCAAAAGTCTCTACGACCAGTCTGCGATCTTCTACGGTGCCGAACACAAGTGATCCATGAGTCTCGCGCACGTACGGCGACTTGTGAGCTAGGCTTTCAGTAATCAAATCTACCATGTTAGTGATTAATGCATTTACCATGCTCGTAATTGCGGAAAAAATCCAATCATGTACATGTGATATAGTAGTGAAAGGTCAACTGGTTTTCTGTCAATCAAACGCCGTTCTATTTAAAATAAGACTTCCGGTAAATTATTTACAACAGAGTGAATTCAAAACAGATTCGTTGATATTACTTATGCCCGAAAAGAATTACCACGCCGAGACTGTTGTTAATTTTATTAGACGTGCATATTAGATATAATCAAGGCATGAAAAAATAGAAATGTATACAATACCGATGAATGATTATGGATTCGTAATAAGATACACGTTTTCATGAAAAGAGCCTGTAACAATATATATTGACAATGGGGGGAAAAGTACATCAAAGTGAAATAGTCCAGTGATTGAAACGGAAGTATCGCCACCCAAGTGGAGAATTTATGAGACCCACTTTTTTTTTAAAGTAGTTGTTTGCGTAGATTTCGATTCTCGGTAGTTGGCGTTGAATGGCGTTAAATCAAGTTAAAACCAATTAAAACCATCGTCTGCAAAGCGGAAAGGAAACGTGGCATAAGTAGCTTCTGTCTGGGCAGTGGCTTACAACGAGATAGTGAAAATATTTTGGTCCAAATATTATTTAAATCGTTCAGTTATAATTTTATTTTATATATGACATATCATTACAAAATGTGGCTTTCCAGCACACAATTCTTAGATTATTCCAATTGAAGAGGGTGAAAAGGGGGGGGGGGATATTACTACAAGCAAAGAATAAACATTGTGTATTGCTCTTATGAAATAATTAATTCAAACCATCCTAATTTTTGATACATAGTTATTTTTTTTTGAAAACACATTACTGGCCTTTACATAAAACAAAGATGGCAGCGGAAAAAGACTGTGAAGCCGTACACTCTATACCTATTTTTTAAATGTCTCCGAGAAATTTCTTGTGTCATGTTTCCAATTCTGAATATAAACCGGAAGGTATAAATCTCTATAATTTCCTCGTATTGCATGCCCCGTATTGCATCCACATTAAACAGTATTTGAATATTTGAGCTACAATGGTAGAGCATTGTAAAGGTGTCCACAATAAAAGTCCACATTAAGAAATCTTGCATCGCATTCGCATGTTAAACATACAGTTTTAATGCCGAATGGGGTGGCGATGATGAGATTTACTGCCCCAACACTGGAACCAGTGTATTGCGATTGCCAGTGGCCCAGTGCCGTACTTTGATACACAAAGATTCTCCAAGGTGCCGTGAACTTACTTTCAGGAAAGTTCTTAATTTGTTTATGCTAGGTTCCCACTATCATGGTTCGCGCTACGATTGAAATCGTGCTTTTAATTGTGGAGTAATCAGGTCTTACAATCGTGTTAATCGTATCGACACATGTCCGAACGTATCTGCACGTACCAGATCGTGGACTAAATAGAAGCTGCGTTCACACTAGGGGTTTAATCTGAATTGAATTCAGAATAAAGCCTTATTCCGGACTTTGGTGTCACACTCAATTCGACAAAAACCGAACTGAATCTGAATTAACGAATCCGTATATTTTTCCGAACTTAACCCGGAACAATAATTCCGAATCGGGTTATTCGCAGTCAAGATTTGGGTGTGACACGCTTGATTCAGATCTACAGTCTTACAGGAAACGATAACTTTGCGGGCATGTTGGGGTGTAGTCTACATAGCTGCAGCCCTTCGTCACTGAAACAAGTGCTGCGGTAACATAACCAGCTAACAATAGATTGTCAGGCAACGAAGCATACGCCCTCAGCAGCTAAGTCCTCCGAGCAGTCAACAAGGGTTGTGGCAAACTTTTCCTTTTGTCAGTAATGCAAACATTTACAACACACTAAATTCTGATTACGAGTTCTACCCTGTACTAAAATTTAATATCATGGGCCACAACTCTGGCAGTAATTATCGTAAATCGTTCAAAATCAATTGACTTCTTCATCCATGACCCTAAACACTGTGCAGAAATATGATGGGCTATATGATGGCAGTGTTATCGTAAATCGTTCAAATTCAATTTGCTTCTTCAATCATGACCTTAAGCACTGTGCATAAATTTAAATTCAATCAGATATTAACATTAGACTCTAGCGCGTCGGGCGGGGGCGACGATAATATACGACCACATTTCAAATACAAAGATAGGTGTGTTCAGATCACAGCTGACCATTCACGGTCTAGACCTTGGGGGCAGGGCAGGTAAGCTTTAGTCGTCTCGAGTCTAGTCTCTAGCATATGTTGCATATAGCTGGATAAAAATGACAACAAAATGTATTGCTTTACATTATGTATGTTTAGGCAACACAAATAAAATAAGTTGTTTCTCGGGCACCGCCCGCACGCAAAATTGGTTGCGCGTGCGGCCTATTTATTAGTCTTGATGAAAAATAAAAAATATGTAACGCCCGCCCGAACATCGATAAGCAAGTCATAAAAAGAATATGCCGCATGTATCTACATGCCTCATACGTGAATATCCATTCAAATGTATTAAACTGATTCAGATGTAAACGCTCATTTACGGGTCTTTTTTATTGATATCGAAAGAACCTCCATTTTTGTATCACGTGATTTTAATTACCTCCCCTTGTGAACT